CTCTCTCCTGGGAAAGGGTACCAATAAGTAAATGGACAGAAAGAGGTCCCTTTCCTCTCAGAGTCTACTATTCTGCCTCATCAAATGCTTCATACAAAATGCCAGTGTCCTCTATAAGGATTAGGCTCAAGGTCATTCATGCCTGAGTATGAATTGTTTTCTTTCGACATTAGTGATCAATATAGAAATGATTTATGGGTTGGGAAGGCAGAGTGTTAATCACTTTGGGAAGGCAATACTAGGAACTGAGAGATGGGAGGGAGGGAGGGCTAACAATAAACAAATACTGAATAAAGTGTCAGGAGCAACCCATGCAGTGAAGAGGTAGGGCATGGGCATAATGGATCATGGGGGTAGTTGGGGTGTAATTTTCTATAAGGTGGTCGTGGAAAACCTCCCTGAGGTGACATTTGAGCAAAGACCTGAACAAAGTGGCAAAGTGAATATATGAGGGAACAACATTCTAAGCAAGTGCAAAGACTTCAAGAACTTGGGTCCATGGAACAGCTAGCCAGCCTCTCAATGGGAGCCAAATGGACAGAAAGAAGAGAGGTAGGGAATCAGGCTGGAAAAGGAGTCACATTGTACAGGCATTAGAGTTTCCATGAGCCTGTTGGGTTCTATCCCCAGTGCACTGGGAGGCCACTGATCGCTTTGAGAGGAGGAGCCGGCCTGATACTTAGCACAGACATGTTGACCTCTGTCCTGTTTTGCATTTCCCTTTGAGGTAGGACCTAGACCCAGGGCTGGGCTTGCAGATGCAGCAGAGGAGGTGATAGGTGGTTAAGGAAAGAGTGGGAAAGGTGGGGATGGCCTGATGGTCCCTCAACACCCTCATCTTTTTACTTCTCCTTCCTCTGTGTTCTTCCTCCCTTTTCCCTCTTGCACCCTTTGGCCCAAACCACTTAGTTGCAAATTTGGAGGGTGAATAGCCCCAGCTTTCTCTTCCCCCATACACATCAAATTGCATGTGCTCTCCTCCCTGCTCCCTGACCCCTCTCTGAGCTCCACATCTTGCTGATCCCCACAAAGAGCCATAGGGATGGCTTTCTTGGTCTATCAGTGACTGAGCTGATCCAAGGACCTGGATCTCTCATCAGTGGGAGTGAGCAAGTCCCAGGTCCTGGGACTTCATTCTCTTTAGCAGTTCGGGAAACAATTTAACATGCAACTATTAAGCACCCACTGTTGTAAGCTGTAAGGAGCTCTGGTGGCATAGTGCTTAGGGCATTTGACTGCGAACCAGAAGGTTGGAGGTTCAAACCCATCAGCCTTTCCTTGGAAGGAAGATTGGATGTGGTGGTTAAGTTTGTGTGTCAACTTGGCTGGGCCTGGTTGAGTGGCTGGGCAGCTGGATGTAGTATTCCCCATGATGAGACTGGTAATCAACTCCATGGTGGAATCTACTGTGAGCAGCTGAGTAGCTGCCTTAGGCATGTGGTCTGCTTCCTGTATATAAGGAGAAGCCTTGGGGAATGGGCTCTAGCTTATGGCATGCTTAACCCTGCATGTAGCCGTGTCATTGTTCAGCAGCCTGCCATGCTCTGCCGACCCTGGGACTTTCAATGGACTTGAATTAATGGCCTGCCATGTGGTTTGGTAACATCAGGACTGTGCCATTTTATTTGTCAGCCTTGGGCTTCTCAGTCTCAGCAGCCAGTAGTTGCCTGAGTGAAGAGATGCCTCTAGCTTCAGTGGGCCTGGAGCAAGAGGCAGAGCTGAAGCCTAAGTCAAAGGGCTTTCACCCACCCTCTAGAGCCTGGCACTTTGAACTCAGACTTCTAGCCTCCTGAAATGTAAGAGAATAAACTCCTGTTTGTTCAAGCCATCCCATTTGTGGTATTTCTGTTAGAACAGTACTAGGTAACCAGAACACTGGGCAATCTACTTCCGTAAATATTTACTGCCTCAGAAACCCAAAGGTCTCTATGAGTTGGAATCAACTCAATAGCAGTGAGTTTGGGGTTCTTTTTTTTTTTTTTTTTTTGGTTGTGGGTTCTGGGTGAGGGTAGGGGACAGGGAAGGGAACAGCGACATAAACATGAAGAAGTTTCTTTCTGTGCCCTCAGTTGTTTTCCATTAGAGGAAGACCCCACTGCAAAGCCGGCCCAGAGAGGCTATGTACAATCAAGCAGCACACACGGGCTTTGGTCATATTGGGAGGGAGACATTGTTTCTTGTAAGGTGTCTTGGAGGAGGCCACATTTGAATTGCGCTTTGAAACATATAGAGGGCTTCCAGAGGTGGAAGGTGGGAACAAGAGAGGAGTCTCCTGCCAAAAGATGTCAAGTGCAGAGCAGTATAGGTCATAATATGCATTGACCTCCTCCTGGTGCCTAATGACTTGTTCATCCTGTTTATGAAGAACAATAAACAAGGATGGAGGTCCCTGCTTATGTGTTTAGGACACAAGACCAGGACTTGGAAATCAGTGAGCCACCTTCCTTAGCACTCACCCAGGGGCCAAACAAGGAATTGCAGTGATAAGGCTGTAAGAGAGATGAGAAATCTCAGAGTTGGACAGGACCATGAGTGTCATCTCGGGCAGGTCTTCATTTCTTGAGATCATGGGGTCCCTTGAGAATTGATGAAAACTATTGACCCTCCTCAGAAGAATTGCCTGTCTGTATATATATGCTGATTTTTAATTTTTATTGAGATTTAATTCACATACCAGAAAATTTCACCATTTTAATATGTACAATTCAATTTTGTTTAGTAGATTTGCAATTATGAAACCATCACCCCTATCTAATTCCAGAACCTTCTCACCACCCCAAAAAAGAAATCCCATACCTATTAACAGAGACTTCTTGTCTTAGGTTGGGTTCTCTAGAGAAGCAAAACCAGTGAAGCTTATCTATCTATCTATACATAGAGAGAAATGTATCTCAAGGAAATGGCTCATGTGGTTGGAGAGGCTGGCAAGTCTCAAGTCCATGGGTCAAACATTAAGCTGGAGGCATCTCCTGAGTCATGCAGCTGCAGGGGCTGATGATCTCAAGATCTGCTGGTAGAATGGTAGATTGTTGGCTCCCGGCAAACTTTCAGCAGCAGACAGCTGCTGAAAGTTAAACAGTCCCCAGATCGGCAGGCAATATGGCTGCCACTGGTTTCAGTTCAGGAACCAGAGATGAGGATGACCCAAGGGCAGGATCCAGATCCAGCAGAAAGCCAGAGAACTTTGCCAGGACACAAACAGCCATACCCCTGAGGAACTCCCTATCAACTGATTGGCTGCTCGTAGCACATCTCGTCATGGAAGTGATTACGTTATAGCAGATTTTATCAGGGGGATGACTGCATCATAACTACTGAACTACTGAGAAACATGGCCCAGCCAAGTTGATACACAACCTTATCTATCACACTCTCCATTTCCTCTCTCCTTTCATCTCCTGATAATCCCTAATCTACTTTCTCTATGGAATTGACTATTCTGGACATTTAATATCAATGGAATCATATAATATGTGACCTTTTGTGTCTGGCTCTTTTTATTTAGCATAATGTTTTCAGGGTTCATGTATGTTGTAGTATGTATCAGTGCTTCATTCCTTTTTATGTCTGAATAATATTTCACTGTATGGATATACCACATTTTGTTTATCCATCAATTGATGGACATTTTGGGTTATTTACACTTTTTGGCTGTTATTGTACTAAAACCACACACTAAAATTAGCATATCATTTCAGGAGGTTCACAGAACCCCTGAAACTCATCTCTTGACCAAGGAAAGCAAATTTTACAAAAGGGGGCATTGAAGAAAGGATAGAGAAGGCAGGAAGACTAATGATAATTTATTACTATTAACTGAACAGTTCTAAGCAAAACATTTTACATACCTGTATTCATTTAATCCCTAACATATAATCCTGTGACATGGTGTTAATGTCTCTCAATACTACAGATGAGGAAACAGGTTCAGACAAGCCATGCCAGATTTCTTGCAAAAGGCAGGATTTAAGCTGAGTCTTGACTACCAGCCCATCTCCTCTCAACTCCCATTGATTCCCTTTTCCTTCTATTTATTTTTCATGGAGTACTCATGTCCTGTCTGGGTGGCACAAATGGTTACATTCTCAGTTACTAACTGAAAGGTTGGCAGCTCCAACCCATCTAGTAGTGGCTTGGAAGAAAGGCCTGGCTATCTTCTGCTGAAAGTTTACAGCTATGAAAACCCTATGGAGGACAGTTCTACTCTGCAACACATGGGTTCTCCATGAGTCAGAACTGATGGCAACTGGGTAATGTCCTATCTGGGTTGCATTAATAGTTCAGTAGTAGAATTCTCACCATCTATACAGGACACCCGGGTTTGATTCCTGACCAATGCACCTCATTTACAGCCACCATTCATCTGTCAGTGGAGACTTGCATGTTGCTATGATGAGGAACAGGTTTCAGTGGAGCTTTCAGACTAAGATGAACTAGGAAGAAAGGCTTGACAACCTACTTCTGAACACCAGCCAATGAAAACCATGGGTCACAATGGTCCAGTCCCCAACTGATCGTGAGGATGGTACAGGACCAAGCAGCATTTGGTTCCTTTATGCACAGGCTTGCTATGAGTTGGGGGATGACTCCATGGCACCTGACAACAATGCTATATCTGCCAATAAGACTTCCATTTTGCTAAGCCCAGGGCTGGCCCAGTGCACAGTGGGTGTCCCTGGACTACAGTAAAATGACCCTCTCCCTCAAAGTATTCTGTAACTGATGCCCTTGCCTCTAGCTCTTCCTCTTCAGGAGCTGAGCCTTCTGCCAAACGGGCTTGTGTGTCTGGTTGTGGTAATAATAGCTCAGGGGCATCGAGGGCATCTCCTGAATAGCTGAGACATTGGTAGCCATGTGGCCACACTGCTATGTTCCTGCTACATGCCCTGCCCTGTGAAGAGGCAGCAGGGTTGGTTGAAGGATGGCATGTGGTTGAAGGTTCTGAAAGAGGGAGGTGAGTAAGAAGCCTAGCATCCACTACTCTCTGCTTTGTCTCTTAGCCTGTGGACAACCAGCAAGCCATGGTGCGCAGGGAATCCGTGGTTAACCTGGAGAACTTCAAGAAACAGTACGTCCGCAGGCGATGGAAGGTGTGTCAGGGTCTGGGGGTTGGGGGCACGGGGCTCCTGGTGTCTCTCCAGGTCTCTGTGCACATTCTCACCTGGTTCCTTTTCTGCTCCTCCCCTCAGCTATCCTTCAGCATCGTCTCCCTGTGTAACCACCTAACCCGATCCCTGATGAAGAAGGTGCACCTGAGGACACATGAGGACTTGGTGGGTAAATGCAGTGACATTTTCTTGGAGCCCTCCTGCCACCACGCCCTGAGGCAGGTAGCTCTTGACTATTTCCAGCCCATTCCTGCTGGTCTGGTTCCATCTTGCACTGGAGGCTGAAATATGGTCGGCAGACGCTGTGTGTTCAGGGGGACCTCTGGGCTGGCTCTGGAAGGGAGCTCCCTGATGAGGAAGAATGAACTTCTGAGGATCTCAAATCCTTTCCTGGAGGACATCCAAAGGGACTGTGGCTCCATTCCACAGGCCCCAGCCTTTCCCCAATCCCACCAGAGACTGTGGGGATTCTGGATAATGCCATTACCTCAGATTGTTCCTGACATTCCAAAAATCTGCTTTAGAACGGGACCCTTACATTCCCCCCCTTTTTTTCTTTCAATTGTTCCATTTCTGTTTTGTTTTAGATTAGCATTATCAATAATAATAATATTTAGATGATGACATATTTGATTAGCTTCTTATAGTTTTATATGCATTTAAAATGAGAATCTTATGATACAATGTACTGGTCAAGAGTGTGGCCTCTGGAACCAGACCGTTAGGATTCAGATCTGCCACTTACTATAGCTATATGACCCTGGGGATATCACTTAACTTCTCTGTGCTAAAATTGCCTCATTTATAAAATGAAGTTAATAATAGTCCCTAGCTGAAAGAGTAGTCATGAGGATTAAAGGATGACATATTCTTAGAACACGGGTTAGCAATTATTAGTGGTAATGTTTAAAATCCTCTTGTAGAGGATGCAGTGCCAATGTTTGGTAGTATTTCCATTGGTGGGCATTCCCTGGACAGCCTCTTCTCCACTGAGTGTGGTGAAAGGGGCCCAGGAGTGTCTGGGATCGCACAAATCAGGATCCAAAGTGACTGTCTGCTTAGGAAGTAGCTGAAGGGCACTCGGCTCCATCTGCCTCAGCTCAGCCTCATGGAGATCACAGCCCCTGCAGCCCCCCCACCCCTTCACACACACTCTGGGTCCTCTTCCTTCAGCCTGAACTCTTGTTGATTCTTGCTCTTGCGCAGGTCTCAAGGATTTGTGGCTCCAGAGTCCTGAAGCAGAGAGCCCTGGTGGTGCAATGGTTAAGTGCTTGGCTGCTAATCTAATGGTCAGTGGTTTGAGCCCACCAGCAGCTCTGTGGGAGAAAAGGCCTAGCAATCTGCTTCTGTAAAGATTACAACCTAGAAAACCTTATGGGGCAGTTCTACTCTGTCCTATGGGTCGCTATGTGTCAGAATTGACTTGATGGCACTTGTTGTCCTGAAACAACTGTGTTGAATGGCTCTGAATGAGCTGTGTTCCTTCCCTTGCCACTTTACTCATCTGCCGTCAGAGGAGACAGGGCCTCCATCCCTCTGAAAATCCTTGTTAATGACAGGTGGACTTTACCCCCAGCTTACTTTTATATTGTTTGGCTCTGACTCATGATAAAAAGTTGCTCTTCAGCAGCGCTTGAGTAATTTTTATTGTTATAGCAGGCTTGGTCTAGGATATATTTGGCTAAAGTTGATCTTGACCTTGGATTTCCAGCTGGCTCAGGCTGGTAGAAGGAGAGCAGGCCTTGGGAAGGTATGTGATGGGCAGCAGGTAGGCCTTTCAGGCTGAGCCTCTGGCCTTGCTGCCCAATTAAATGCAGTCCATAGCAAGAGAGGATGAGGGAGTAATTGAAAAAATTGTAAACTTCTTTCTTAATTTTTGTCCTTGTGCAAATATTTAAAAATAGCCCTATTTTTATTCAAACACTCAGCATCATTCTACAAATGGGAAAGAAAGGCTTTTGTCTCAGATATATGTTTTAGTTTGCCCAAAGGGACATTCCTTTTAAAATTAAAATTTAAAAAAGAAGAAGAATGATAGGCTCATTTGTTTAAAAAGGAGCTGTACTGCCATAATAAAACCAAAACCGAACTCACTGCCGTTGAGTCAGATCTGACTCATAGCGACCCCTCCCTGGGTTTCTGAGGTGGTATCACTATGGAAGTTGATTGCCCAATATTCCTCTGAGGGGTAATGGTTAAAGCATTTGGCTGCTAACCAGAAGGTTAAACCCACCAGCTACTCCATGGGAGCAAGATGAGGCAGTCTACTTCCATAAAGATTTACAACTTTTGAAACTCAGTGGGGGTCACTATGAGTTGCCCATTTGTTTAGAAAACATTAAATCTGGACATCTGACAGGAGCTTTTTTTTATGACTTGTTTCAGGCTTTCTGGACTCCCTGAGTGTTACAAATGGTTGACATGACTACTAACCTACAGGTTGATGGTTAGCCCAGAAAACTCTATGGAGCAGTTCTATTCTGTAACACATCAGGTTGCCATGACTCAGAGTAGACTTGATGGCAACAGGTTTTTTGTTTTGTTTTCTTTGTAAAAGTTTACAGAGTAAATTTGTTTTCCATCAAACAGTTCATACATACTTTGTTTCATGGCATTGATTCTAATCCCCAGAATGTAACAGCCCTCTTCCCACTTCCTCCCTGTGACTGCTTTTTCCCTGTGTCCTTCTTTCCCTTGCATTCCTGCCCTCTGCAGCAATAGGTGTTTAAAGCTTTCTGAATTAGTACTTGTTTTAATTATTTTAATGATTTGGTTATATCATCTTGGCCTGAAGGAAAGGCAGTAGGCTTCGGCTCTGGTTTAGCCATGTATGAGCTGAAGGACAGCACTTCATTTTTCTCTTTCATAAAAATGCAACTCAGAGGCCATTTCCCTGGAAGAAATGCATGACGGGGCTCTGCTGAAGGTGAAGTCAAAGCCAGTTAGGAGAGAGAGGGTATGGATTGATGGCCATCAGACCTCGGTGGAGCCCTTATATCTCAGCTGCCCCCACCCCCGGCCCCTAGTCTCTCTAGGCTGAGTTCAGCCCACAGACCACATATCCAAGTGGTCTTGGTTATGTGGCAGGCACAAAGGGCACCACATATAACTTCCAGTATTATTAAAATTTGGCCTCTCTTGTTGCCTGGTTTCCCTCAGATGCCCTGCCCTGCTTTCTTCTGTCCTGTGAAGAAAGTCTCAAGGCAATTGGCCTGGCTTCCTGTCTGGTCCCTCTGTCTCCTCTGACCCCGGTACCAGTCTCTGCGCAGAAGCTCTAGGCTTCCTTTAAATATTCACTTACCTCGCTTATAGGTCCCTGGCTCAGGTGTAGCAACCCAGGGTGCTCAGCTTAACCCCATTCCTGACATCTCATTCCCCCCCCCCCCGGGTCTCTTTTCTTTTTAGAGGAATTGCGAGAGTGATACCGAGGAGGACATTGCCAAGAGGAAAGCCCTCCATCCCCGCAGGAGGAGTAGTACGTCCTAACTGGCCCAGTTGCAGTGGCCACCTGGGAGGCCCAGGCCCAGAAGGACTCCCATCTGCACAGACTCTTGGACCCAGACTGTCACCAGTATCCAGATGTTCTGCATTCTTGAGCACTTTGCAAGAGAGAAGAGCCTTCAGCATTCAGAAGAATTTGCAGGGGAGCCAGGAAACCCTGGGAGCTGTCACTGTCCCCTGTAGGGGGGCTCCAGCATTCTGGAGACTCTTAATTCACCATAAAACAGGCTTTCACCTGTCTGCCAACCTCAGAACCTGGGGTGGGCGTATGGACTTAAGAAAACTATATAAACAAATGTCATTTGTATTGGGACCTGTGGGGGTGAGTGTGCTACAGCATCAGCTGGGGCTCTGGACAGAGGTGAGCCCCAGGGTCAGGTCTTTAAAAGTCTTGCTTGTCCTCCAGGAAGCTGGGCTGCTGAGTTGGGCAGAGCTGATGATAGAGAAGTGAATGTTCGGTGAAGGGCAAACCGTGGGTCTAGTAGTCCCTGTCTTGTAACTGAAGGTGGGAGATTTCATTTTATCCCTGTGGGTGGAGGTTTACTGGCATTATGAGGGACCAGGGAGAAGCACCTGGAGAGGAAGGTGCGTGGGTGTGGTCACACTCAGGAAGATTTCCTCACAGAGCCAGGGAGGTCAGAACCAGCTAGGTCAAAAATTACACCTGGAAGACAGAGGCCTCCCTGCATGTGAGTGAATGAAGTGAACCTTGGGGTGTGAGGGATCAATCCTGTGACCTTCCAGACCCCTATGTAGTCAGGGTGTCAGGCTGACCAATATATCAGACTTTCTGAAATAACCAATTGCCAACCCATTGTGTTGTATTTTTTTGTTTTGTTTTCATTTTTATTAAATTTCTGGTTTACCTGATGCTTGGATTATTTTAGGGCCACTCACATCAAATTCCCTTCAGCCCAGGTACCCGTGACTTTAGGGGAGTACCTGGGGTAGGAGTGCTCAGTGGTCAGCTCTTACTGAACCATCTCCTGCAGGGTGCCTACCTTCTGTATTCTTCCATAAAGGTCCCCAGCACCCCAAAATCGGCCCAGATGTCAACATATAATGCCTGTACTTCCTCTACCACTACCAGCACTGCCCCTGCCGACTACAGCCAAGCAAGGGCAGGAAAGTTTTTAAAGATTTGAAAAAGGGCAAAGAAGGAATTACTGGGAGAAAAGAGAGAAAAAAAGACATGTATTACCTGGACACTTGAGTGGATATGGCAAGAGAACCTTAACACAGCAATCTAGGCCCTGCTTTCCAGAGCAAGAGAATGGTGTTGCTGACCAGAAACTCAAGAAAATAACCTTGAAAATCAGAAATAAAAAGGGTCAGGGTGAGGCACTGAGGTTTGGAAAGTACATGGGAAAAGATAGAAAGAGAGGGAGGGAAGATGAGTGAGGGATCTAAGGTGAGGAAATAAGCCAAGAAAGAGAGAAGGAAAAATAAATAAAACATGGTGGAAAGAAAGAACCCAAGAAAAAGGGAGGCATCCGTTCCTTTTGTCAGCAGTGAGTTATAAATACATTGTGTGAGAGAGTGGACCAGGTGCTTTCATCTAGTGGATGGATCCAGGGAAAATGACCCCATTAGACAGAAAGCCAAACCTGCTTCAGAAAAGCTTCTGAATGGAAATGGAGTGGACCTGCAATAGGAAGTGGCTTGTTGAAGACAAGTTGACTTTTAGTTCCTGGGCCTCCTCAGGTAGAACAGCTTTATGCTTAATTTCAGCCCCTGGAGGGCACCTGAGGCTGAGAACTGCTGGCTGCAGGGCACCTGGGGAGAGCTCATGGCTGTGGCTGATCACAGAAATCAGCAAGGAATGTTCTAGAACAGGGACTCACTGGGAACTCCTAGGAAGTAAAGTGTGGTAGGGGTGGGAGGGCTTCTGTCTTGCTAGGAAGCATTATGAGGGACCAGAGGGAAGCACCTGGAGAGTGAGGTGCGTGGGGTGTGGTCAGACTCAGGAAGATTTCCTCACAGAGCCAGGGAGGTCAGAACCAGCTAGGTCAAAAATTAGACCTGGAAGACAGAGGCCTCCCTGCATGTGAAGGAAGGAGAGCAGCGAATGGTTTTGACAAACCCAGCCTCAAGTTTCTAATTTTGATCATAGTCTTAGCCTTTTAAAATTTGCCTAGCCCAGCCACTAGGGAGCTCTGGTGGTGCAATGGTTAAGTGCTCAGCTGCTAACCCAAAGGCTGGCAATTCCAACCTACCCAGTGGCTCTATGGGAGAAACAACCTAGTGATCAGCTTACATAAAGATGGTTGTTTTTGTTGTCTGCTGTTAAGTCGATTCCAACTCATAGTGACCCTATAGGATCTAGTCCTGTACAGATTTCCCTATGAGGTAGTTCCACTCTGTCATATAGGGTCACTATGAGTCGGAATCGACTCAATGGGCACTCAACAACAGTCCGAGCACTACATTTTACTGAAGAGAGAGGCAGTGAGTAGTTCTGTGCCATACAGCAAGTTTGTGAACAAGTCCAATGAAACTTCAGACTTCCTAACTCCGAGTACAGAGCCTAAGGCATTTGACTGCTAACCGGAAGGCTGATGATTCAAACCCACCAGCCCCTCCTTGGAAGGAAGATCAGGCAATCTACTTCCATAGTGATATTGCCTTGGAAACCCAAGGAGGGGTTGCTATGAGTCAGATCCAACTTGATGGCAGTGAGTTAGTACAGAGCTCATTCCTTCAGTTTGATAGACTGTGGTAGACCTTTCAGGAAATGAATGGACTGTTACCTTTGCCTCATTTTTAACAAGCTCTCATCTATTGTTTGCTGCTCCCCATTTCATTCTTCAGTTTTGGAAATGGAAGAAATTATCAGCTTCTGCCCATCTTTTCATCATAAAGGACACTGCCCTTGGACACTCTTAGTACCCAACTCCCAGTCAGTGAACCAGTGTTTGTGGACTTCCACTAAGGGCCTGGCACTGTTCTAGGTTCTGGGTTAGAACAGAAAGTAGGACAGACATGGTCCCTGCCCAAAGCAATCATATTCTAGAAGCCCTAGGAATCCAGGACTCTGTTGTTCTGCTCATAGTCTGCTCCTCCCAGGATTCCTCTCATCTAGGTTATATAAAGCTCTGTTAATTGATTCCCCTCAGCCCAACTCTCTGGTGTTTGATGGCACCTACTGGGTTTCCCAGAACCCCTTGGGAACCAAAGACCAGGCTGCGGAGAGGGGGCCTTTGAGGGTGTACATCCTGCATTCTCACCTCAGAGGCCTTCTGCCCAACAGCCAGAAGCTAGACACCCATTCCACTCTCTCACAGGCCTCCAGTCCCTGTGGGCTTTCTATTGCCAGATGGCTGCTGCCCTCCCTACATGTGTGAGGGTGACTAGGAGCAGCTGGCCTAAAGGAACCAGGTGTGTTCTGTTGGCTCTGAAGATGTGATGACCAGCTGACACTTCAAGGCTGTGTGCTCTGAGGTAAATGGAACATTTCTAGTGATTAAAAACAGTGCTCAGTTAAAAGACAGTTCTTTAAAGAGGTCTGGGGGTGTCCTGTCCCAGAGTGTTTGCCTCTGTGTCTGCAGGGTGCTGCCTTAATATTTCACAAGTACACATATAAATATTTTAGTATGCTGTGTTCTAATGTCAATCTCCCTGACTTTTCAGACTCCAGATCTTAGATTGCATTTGCCTTTTCCACACACATATTTATTTGCTGAAGTTTATTTTGGAAGCAAATGAAGGCCATACCATTAAAGATGAGCCACAGAATTTTTACTAAGGAAAAAAATCAAGCCCTGGACACCACAAACAATTAAAGCAGGTATGTGTGAAAAGAACTAAATTGAAGATTGGGATGTTGTAATGAAATTTTATCTGGCATAGGCTTGTAGAACTTTCTTTTCTTTTTCTTTCTTTCCTTCCTTTTTTTTTTTTTTTGATGTCATCCTGACATTGTCCTGTTCTCTGTTGCTGCACCCTAAAGAATAATATCTGCCATGGTGATGATATCTGCTGAGATGATCCATTCTAAGCAAACTTTAATAGGCTTAGGGATTGGAGCAGCTGAAGAGTTGTGAACAATGGTTAATTGGCATTTCAAAAGGCAGAAGCACAGTTGGAGACTTCCCATTAACAATTTCTAAGAAGCCTTTCTGTTTTTTCATCTCTCCCACTAGTTTCTTTTCTATCCTTCTTATATTATATTTCCTCTCCCTCTTACCATTAGCAAGTCATAATATATACTTGAAGTAGATATTTTAGTAATTTCTTTACTTACTGAATAAAATTCATGTCCCCAGTTCTTAATCTAAAAAAATCAGTTGATTTTATCACCTAGGGAAAAATAATTTTGTAAGTATTTTCCCCCTGTGGATCAATGATCCTCTGCCCCTGAGCTGGAGGGAAAATGAAAGTAGAAAAAGCTCACAATAATTTTCAAGAACTTGTTCTGCAAGAGGAACATTTCACATATGGCATTTCATTTCATCCATTTCATAACCTTGTAAGGAAATTGAGAGCCCCGTTTATATAGATAAAGAAGCTGAGTTGCAGCTGAGTTAAGACATTTGCATGCAATCATACAGCTGGAGAACTTGGGGTCTGGATGCCAGCCCAGCCTTTGCCTACCTCCAAATCTATGTTCTCTCCCTTCCGGAGAAACACAGGGTTGAGTGAGAAATAAAACATCCTGGAGAACCACGTATAATAAAATACATTTTATTGAAATATTGTTTATGCATAGTGAAATACACAAAACTAAAGTGACATGGGTCAATGCATTATTTTATTTATTTATTTATTTATTGGCAGTGTTCCCTCCTCTCCCCTCTCATCCCTGGTAACTAACAAAGAAAGTTTCCTTCCATATATAAACCTTTCCTTGATTTTTTACAATAATGAACTAATACAATATTTGTCCATGATTAACTTATTTCACTCAGCATAATATCCTCCAAGTTGATCCATGTTATGTGGTGTTTTTCAGATTCTACATTATTCTTTAGTGTTGCATAGTATTCCATAGTTTGGTTATCCATTCTTCTGTTGATCTGCAAATAGGTTGTTTCCATCTTTTTGCTTTTGTAAATAATGCTGCAATGAACATGGATATGTGTATATCTGTTCTTGTCTTGGCTCTCACTTTTTTTTTTTTTTCTTATTGTGATTTGGGTGAAAATTTACAGAGCAATTTCACTTTCCATACAGCAGTTCACATACACTTTGTCTCGTGACATTGATCACAATTTACCACAATGCAACAGCTCCCCTCCCACTTCCTCCCCATAGTTACCTCTTCCCTGTGTCCATCCCTCCATGCACTCTTGC